CCAACCAGGGGCGAGGCTGGCCGGCCAACCACCCACAGCCCCTCCCCCCGGCCAGCCCAGTCCAATGGGCCCCCATTGGGGCAGGTTGGCCAGACCCCCACCTGTGCACGAATTCGTGCACCAGGCCTCTAGTTCCGAAATAAATAAATAAATAAATAAATAAATAGTTTATGTGAAGGACTTGTATGCATGCATATAAGCATAATCAATGGACACAAGACACTGGGGGGGTTGGGTGAGGGCGTGTGCTGGGAGGTAGAGGAGGCCGGGGGAAGGTCAATGGGGGGGGGGGGACATATGTACTACTATCTGCAATACTTTAAACAATAAAATAAATTTTTTTTAAAAAGATGCTGCCATCAATCTACCTCTATTAGAATCCTGAAAATGAAGCCATACGGGATGGTGTTTTTCTTAAAACGAACGTCGGAGGAAGGGTTATGAGAAGTAGGGTAGTGAAATGACAAGGACAGCTCTGCGGTGTCTCACCATTTTGTCAAGGTGGCATATTTGACATGTGGAAGTTAAGATCATGATCCGAACTTGAGCCCTGAATTTGAGATCCATATGAAAATACCAATGTTTGGTTTGTCAATATCCAGTCTTCTGAGAGAAATTAAAGTGAGCAGCACTGGGGAGGCCAGCCACATGGTAACAGGAGCACGTGCTGCCTCACTCTGCCTCCCACCCAGGGGCCACCCACCGCTGGAAGTGCCCATCTTGCACCTTGAAGCAGACACCCTGAAGTTACAGCCTGAATTGAGTGCCTAGTACATGCTAGGCTCTCATTAAATACTTGTTAAATGTTTGAATGGATAGTTCTTCCTTGTTGGTCATTTTTCCCTACATCTCTTTTGGAGACTAATTTACAGGACAAGAAGAAATGAAGTCAGTATGAGAATTTTAATAATTCAAGGCAGTAGGCATAGAATCTCTATACATTTGATGAAAATATTACACAGAAAAGATTTCAAGATACTATGTAGCTCTTCATCTCCTTCTCTAAGGATATGCTGCAGATTATAACCCACTCACTGAATCAGGAACCATGAGTCTATCTATATATATAAAAGCCCAGCAACCGGAATGGCAGAATGACCAAAACAACCAGTGGCTATGACGTGCACTGTGGCAGCCAACCAGCCTGATCCAGGCCCCAGTTGGCCACCCCCTTCACCCCAACCAGGGGCGATGACCTTTGCACTTTTTGCTCCTATTGTACTGTTGGTTTAAGGACTTAGAGATAAAGCATCACCTCATTAATCTGAGTCGAATAACTTTAAAAAAATGTTTTAGTTTTATTTTAAGTGCATGGAAAGGAAGTATTTAGCTCAGATAAATTTAGGTATAAGCATTTACAGTTTGCATATTACCGGGCAGTTAAAATCATTGCTGCTAAGTCTTATTAACTGTTCACACAAATATTACTTCTAAGGCTAGTATTTCCTTTGTTATTCATTTACAAAGTATGCTTTTTCCTTAAGTAGCAGTGAAATGGAATATTTACATAGTCTCAAAATATCTCCCCCCTAAATACTTGCTAATTATTAAAAGAAAAAGAGTAAGATACCACCATAATCAAGGCATCAAAGTTAACCTCACTAGTGAAGAGATACACAGAGATTATGCACCACTAATACAATGTAATGAGAAGAACATAGCATCATTTCTGTGATATTCTTGCCAAAGTATTGAGAAATATTTTATAAAATAACTATCCTATGATCTTTAAAAGCATCATGGTCATGGAAGGCAAGTAAGGATTGAGGAATTGAATCAAGTTGGAGGAGGCTAAGGCCACATGACAAGTAAATGCAGTGTATGGTTCTGAACCAGGTGCTTTTGCTCTAGTGGACATTGTCAAGGCAACCGGTGAAACTTCAGTGTGCTTTGAAGATTAGATGATGGTGATGTATGAATGTCATTTTCCTGATTTTGTCGGATGTATTGTGATTGTGGAGGAGAAAAATCCTTGTTTGTAGGAAATGTGCACTAAAGTATCCAGGGGTGACAGGGTATTGGTTTGGTAACTAACTCTCAATTATTCAGGAATATAAAAAAAGAATCCTTCTTGGTGTATTTGCAAATTTTCAGTAGTTGAGATTGTTTCCAAATAAAAATTAAATTAAAATAAGCTGTGCCTGTGCTGAAAGGTGGCATTTACAGTGTATGTCCTATCTCCCCTGCTGCCCTCCCTCTGTGCCTTGTGTGTCCTATAACTAAATTTGCCACCTTCTGCACCTTATTTTTCTAAGACAACTTTGTGCATGCATCACTAAAGCTGCAAAAGGCAGTGGTGAAGTTTTGATAGATTCCCTAATCTTAGCACTAGTATTTTCACATGCCTCTCAAAATCAACACATCTTACTTCCACAGTATTAGAATACTTATTTTGAATCAATTTTGCCACTAGAGGTCAGCGGTGTTCCACCTCAAAGAGAATATATAAAAGTAATGAAGTCATTAGCAGTTCCCTATCTGTGCCCTTAAATGGCATTCATGGTGTCTTTGTGTTTATTCTTAATACCTCCGGACAGTTGTCAGACATATGCTATGAGGTGACATCAGTTGTCACTCTAGGTCAGTGGTTCTCAACCTTCCTAATGCCGCAACCCTTTAATATAGTTCCTCATGTTGTGGTGACCCCCAATTTCATTGTTACAAATTGAACATAATTAAAGCATAGTGATTAATCACAAAAACAATATGTAATTATATATGTGTTTTCCGATGGTCTTAGGTGACCCCTGTGAAAGGGTCGTTCCACCCCCAAAGGGGTCGCAACCCACAGGTTGAGAACCGCTGCTCTAGGTGATGTTCCACGTGCGCCTAATGTCGTGGAAGGGTAAAGAGCCACGACTGTAACCATGAAGAAAATTGCTTCTCACTGGGATGTGAAGAGGGGCCGTACGATAGTTTGATAGAAAGTAGTGTGAGCTCTGAGGAGGAAAGACACCGTGGAAATCCAGTGTCATCCTCTAACATAGCTCAGACACTGCCTTTTATAAGATAGAAAAAGTAAGGACCCAGAACAGAACATTCATTCGTTCAACCAACATGTAGTTGGCAATGAAGCTACGTTCATGAAGATCAGTTGGTGCCCCAAGGTACTTAAGGAATCAGGCATTCATGAACTCCTAGAGGGCTAACTTGTTAGCTAGTAAGTAGTGCAAAATCTCATATCCTGACAGAACTCTCCCAAGTTGATTTTTTTAAGTATAAGTGGTTACCAGGGAAACAGAATACTATGAAGATTATGCTTGTGTATTGAAAGTAAGATAATCCATGAGCAGCGTAGCATTTTAGAGCCTTGCTAGCAAATCATGTGCATTCTTTCATAGAATATTAGTTATCACTGTAACTGACTCCTAATGCCCTTCAAATAATCACTTTGTCTTTTTAAAACAGAACTCCTTTTATGCTCCAAGAGCCCAATGATTAGTCTTGATTTTAAAGCAGATTACTTTAAAATAAGTTAGTGGAAGATGTACCCAGCTGAAATGACTGATAATGGTAGATTCATATATAGAGAATCAGAGAAACCCCAAACTGCAGAAGCTGGAATGGAGCAAAGATAACTCACTCAGGAGAGCCTTCAGAACCTGTGGCAGGCATGGTGCCAAGAGCACAATGGTAAAAAACAACCAAACCATCAAGGGTTCACTCTTAAAAATGGGGAACCATCGACTACAACTCATTGGTATTGTTATCTGATAAATTCCTCAATGCTATTTTATACAATATTAGAGAAGCAGAATGAACTCTATTCGAACCCCTCATTTGAGGAAACAGGGGTCTATAGTAAAGTGACTCATCCCCCACAGGGGTGTGGTCAATTTCAAATATTTGGATACACTACACTATCTAGCTCATAATAAACACTAAAATAAATTTTCTAAGCAGCAAATATACATGAAGAATTACAGATTGAGCCAGAATTGGAACCCAGATTTCCTCATTTTCAAACCAATGCTTATTGCTTTTTTGATAGATCAGTATTTTTCAAACCAGTCATTTGCATACCAACGTCATAATTTTTACCACATTAAATTAACCATTTAAGTAATATCATTTTTGAACTTGGCTTTGTTCTAGGCCAGTGGTCGGCAAACTGCGGCTCTTTGGCCCCTTGAGTGTGGCTCTTCCACAAAATACCATGTGCGGACGCGCACGTACAGTGCGATTGAAACTTCGTGGCCCATGCGCAGAAGTCGGTATTTTGTGGAAGAGCCACACTCAAGGGGCCAAAGAGCCACATGTGGCTCGCAAGCCGCAGTTTGCCGACCATGGTTCTAGGCCAAGCATCTTCAAATTGAGAGTGGTTCTATTCATATTTTTTATTACAATAAAACATGTAGTAGCCAGGCCAGCATGTCTCAGTGGTTGAGCATCGACCTATGAACCAGAAGGTCATAGTTCAATTCCCAGTCAGGGCACATGCCCGGATTGCAGGCTCCATCCTCAGTAGGGGGCGTGCAGGAGGCAGCCAATCAATGATTCCTCTCATCGTTGACATATCTCTCTCTCTCTCCCTCTTCCTTCCTCTCTGAAATTAATAAAAACATATTTTTAAAAAGATGCAGCTATTGTAACTATTTTTAAAAGCTCATCTGTACAACCAGAGGTATGCAGTTTGGGAAGCACTGATTAGACAAGACTATGTCAAGAGAAAAATAAGCATCAAGACTGGATAATCATTCCTAATTATTTTAAATTTTGTTGCAAAGTTCAAAACTTGATTCCATGGAGACCCTAATATCCTTCTGATTCTCATCTGAAAAACTCTAAAAATACACTGGTAATTTCTTTTTATCTATTGAACAAATGAATGAAAATGATTCTGATCAAATTAGCCAACTATTGATTATTACCAGAAAATTATAATCTTGAGAAAAGTACACATGAACAGCCTAACTTACCAAATAGCAATATGAATGAATATACTTTTAAGTCTGGTTTTGAAATCAAGTTTCAGCTAGTAAAATATATGCCTTACTCACCAAGTTTGGGACAGCACTCATTCTCCAATGAATTCAATAACCTTTCAAGGAAAAAGAAAAAGGAAAATATGAGTTCTTATTTAGAAATGAAATGAAACACATTTTGCAAATCAATGAGCTTAAAATATCAGGGAACACACCTGGTTACACTTGAAAGTTATCAAAATGCTTCCATTTAGCATATTTCACTTTAAAATATCCACAGTATGTTTAGAACCCTCTAATTACTTAAGACAAGTTAGAAGTTTTTATGTGCATGATGAGAGCATGTCAGACTGGAAGATCAAAATGATCTGTAAGTTCCCTATTTTGTTATTTATCATTTCTTCCTCATACAACTAATTGCCTTGTAACAACAGTTTTCAGTTTGGAGTTCCCCATTCCCTATGAAAATATTTTAATTTTCTACTGTTATTTAGATGGTTTGACATTAATATATGCATATTCCAGATCACATGAATATTCATCATAATCAAATATTTCCATGCAATTTCAGTGGTTTCCATTTGTACTTGTATGTGTTCCCTATTCAAAAGAAGCAAACTTTAGTGCCTATTTTTAAACCAGTTTTTATTGGAAAAAATATAATGCAAGTATGGAACATTGTATAAAATAAATATATAAATGAATGTTCACTTCATGATTACTTTGCCAAAATTTCAACTCCCTTTTTATATTCACTTGGGTGTTCCTTTTCTTCTTCTTCACATTTTTGTTATTTCAAGGACAGATCTTAAGTATTAGCAACACTGTTTTATCCAATTTGCAATATTTTGTGAATGCTCTATTGCTCTCTAACCTTATGATTATCTTTTTGTATGTTATTTTTTTTAGTTTGTCTTAGACTTCCTTTAAAGTTTAAATTATCTACCAAGATATATGTTGGGTTCCAGAATTTTTTTTAAAAAAAGGTGAATGCCCTAAAATAACCATATTCTACTGAATGGCAATCATTTTCTTGCATCCTTTAAATGGTTTTTATCATCCAAGGATACATCCAACATAAACCATAGGATTTTTGTTTGTTTAAAAGAAGTATGTATTTTAAGTGTCTTTTTACCTACAGGTTTTCTTTCCATTTTTTCTTCCAGTGCAAATTACTTTCTTTTTGTTAGAGAAAGGGGCATTGTTTTTTTATTTTGTCTTGTTTTGTTCCATAGCCAGATTTTGCTAATTCTATCCAGGAGGTAGAATGAAAATTATATATATAATCTGTCCTCCGTATTTTGTGTAAAATTGCTATTTTGGGGGCTTGATCAGGTCAGGTTGCAATTTTCTTTTCTTTTTTTCCTGACAAGACTATTCACAGATGGCGGTGCATCCTTCTTCCATCAGAAAGTAATCGCTACCTGGGGGTCCTTTTTGTGATGTTAGTGATATTGGTGCTCAGTGTCTAGAACAGTGTTTCTCAAAAGTCGTCTTCATTTAACCCCACCCCCAGATCCTTTTAGACATTATTTTCCTAATCTCCCCTTCCCCTTATGAAATTGTCTTTTCCCAAACTTGGAGAGCCATAATTTCTTTAAATATACAGGGGTGGGCAAAAGTACATTTACAGTTGTTCATATGGAAAAATACATGCAGGATATGATTATTATAATAGTTTTATTAACTCAAAAGAATAAAATGTTTCATGTACTCACAACTGTAAACCTACTTTGCCCCCCACCCCCCCCCACCCCCCGTATTTCAGTACCATACTCTGTTTCCTTTTTTTCTGGAACTCTGATGACATAAATGCTAGATCTTTTTTGTGGTCTTTTATTCCTGAGGTGATGGGGTGTTTTCACTCTGTTGATTTTTCTCTTTGTTGCTCAGATTGGATGAGTTCTACTGAGGCAGCCTCCAGTCGCTCTTCCCACTTTCATCTCCATCCTGTCATGGAGTCTTTGCAGTTTTCTATTTCAATTATTTTATTTTCCAGATATGAGGTTTCCTTTTGGTTCTTATTTATAGCTTCTATTATGTTGCTTATACTTTCAATTATAACTTCTGTTTCAAGATTTTTAGTGATCACTTGTTCAAGTATTTTTTAATAGCTGCTTAAAATCTTTTCCAGATAATTTCAACATTTGTGCCATCTATTGATGACTTTCATGTGAGTTGAGATTTTTATGCTTCTTCATAAACGGAGTAACTGTGGATTAGATCCTGGATATTTTGACTGTTACACTATGAGCTCCTGGGTCTTGTTTCAGTCCTATGAACAATGTTGATATTTTTGCCTTAGTAGAAACTTGAGTTGGTTAGGTTGGCCTGCAAGTTCCAACCCACCTTCTCTGGGCTGTGATTTCAAAGCATTTCAATTTGAGAAGTCTTTGCAGTGCTTTATTTTTACTTAATTTTGACAATTCTAATAAAGATTCATCGAAGTAGGTATTATGATACCCGTTTTACAGATAAAAAGGTAGGTTTCGATTCAGCCTATCACTAGCTATATGATATTGAACCTTGATTTTCTCATCTGTAAAATGGGATAGATAACATCTAGATCACTGGATTGTTTGAGGACTGAGTAAAATAAGATTGTAAGTTATAGGATACACTGTGTAACTACCACGTCCATCAAGGTATCATAGAACATTTCCATTACACCAGAAAGTTCCCCCTATTCCTTTGAGGTCAACCCTCTATTCATCTTCCACCCCAGGCAACCACTGTTCTGACTTCTATCACACTAGATACACTTTGTTTGCTCTAGAACTTTATATTAATAAAATCATACAGACTGTACATTTTCTGCCTGGCTATTTTCACTCGGCAAAATATAATTCAGATTCTCCTATATCAGCAAACTGTACCCAAAGTAAAAAGCCAAGAAACAGGTAGTCATAATGTCACCCCTATAACTGAGGAGAATGCTACTACCATGTATTCACCATATACTGAAAACAAACAGGGTGTGCTTTATGTCAAGGGCCGTCTATCTGTGAATGGTATCAAGCCAGATCACATTACACCCCAAAGCCTGACACACTGCGGGGATGGCCTTGAGCAAGACATTTGTTTACTATGAAGCTTCAGTTTCTTTCTGTGGGTTGTTGTGAGGATGAATATGGAATAAGGTGAGAGAAAGCGCTATATACCAAAGTACAATTAAGGCATTTTGTCAACTCTAAAGTATTATCCAATGGTCTTTGGAAGGGTTGCGGAGAGGAACAATCTACGAGAGGTGCACGTAGGAGCTCTGCGACTTGGGAAGTGAAGAAGAAAAAAATATGGAAGAGTCTGCTTTTAGAACTGAGGAACCACGGAATTGCATTGGCCTTCTGTATCTGTTACGTCCAGGAATGCTCCTTTCCTACATTTGTATTTCTCTCTTGCCCGGCGTTTCTTTTTACCAACCTCCTTCCTGACAGCTGTCAGTTTTCATACTGGATTTGTGACCTCAATTTTCAGGCTCCCGCGGAGACCCGAGGAACGCCGCGCTGGCGTCGGCTTTCTCACGCTTAACTTTCCTTCTGTGCTGTCATTGGCTGTTGCTGTTCCAGGACCCGCCCCCAATGACCTAAATGCTGATTGGATGCCAATATCCTTTTACCAACCTCCTTCCTGACAGCTGTCAGTTTTCATACTGGATTTGTGACCTCAATTTTCAGGCTCCCGCGGAGACCCGAGGAACGCCGCGCTGGCGTCGGCTTTCTCACGCTTAACTTTCCTTCTGTGCTGTCATTGGCTGTTGCTGTTCCAGGACCCGCCCCCAATAACCTAAATGCTGATTGGATGCCAATGTCCTTTTTTTTTTTTGTTAAGGTAAAAGGTGGATCCTGGAGCTAAGAGGGAAGACGATTGGGGCGCCGGGCAGCTAATGCGCATGCGTGCCCCCTGGAGCGGGGATTGGCGGGACGGGGCGGGACTCCCGGCTCCGCGCAAGCTCTGTGGGCGGAGGGGGCGGAGCTGCCGGTGTCAATTGCTCCAAGTGTCGGGGCCCGAAGCATCCTCCAGGTACCTGCCCCTCCCGGCGCCTCGAACGGCAGGTCCTGGCTCCCTGCAGAACCGCCGCGCATCTCTTTTTCTCATCGTCTCGTCATTGGGCCCAGAGGTTCCTCTGGGCTTGGGGGCGCCCGCGGCCCCTGACGAAACGTCCTGGAGCCCAGGCCGCTGTCCAGCACCCCCGCCCTCAAATGGGGCCGCGGGAGGGCGTATGGCGCTAGGGGACCTGGCGCGCCTAGACTTGGCCGCCGCTCCCTGCAGAACCGCCGCGCATCTCTTTTTCTCATCGTCTCGTCATTGGGCCCAGAGGTTCCTCTGGGCTTGGGGGCGCCCGCGGCCCCTGACGAAACGTCCTGGAGCCCAGGCCGCTGTCCAGCACCCCCGCCCTCAAATGGGGCCGCGGGAGGGCGTATGGCGCTAGGGGACCTGGCGCGCCTAGACTTGGCCGCCGCTGCTCTGGGGGCAAGTGAGCGGTAAGGTGAGGGCCGGCGACATCTGTCCAGGCGTTGAAAGTAGCTCCCGGGTTAGCATCTTCTTGGGTGACCTGTTTGGGGGGTTCTGTTGGAACCGAGAAAGAGCAGGGCTTTGTTGTGCAGTGCATTGATCCCAGTACTGTGACGTAACGGTGTTACGGACGTGCTATGAGGTGGTCTCAACACCATTTCTGCACCCGGGATCCACAGCTCTCTCTATATACTCTGTGCTGTGCTCATTGCGCTCAATATACATAGCCGTTTCTTCGGGATCTGCCTCCCGTTCCGATCCTTGTTTGGCCAAACAGTTCCTTAATTTGTGGATTTATGTAACCAGAACAAGTCAGAACTTGAACGGGCCCGAGCGAACAAACCATGTTCACAGTTGATGCAGCTTGAAGGGAATGTAATTTATCCTCAGTTGCTTAGTTAGTAGAAATATCAAAGGGATTTGACATCAGGAGCTGCAAAATGTTTGGCAAACTTGGATTAAGGTCCTATTACAGTTTCTTCCATTGCATGATGGAAAAGGGGGCTTTGTAGTTAGACCTGGATTCAAATAATTGGTACAGATGTTGGCTCAGAAATCTAAGGCAAGATGCATAGACTTTCTGAGATATAGTGTCCACATCTGTAAATTGCAGTGTTCTTCTATTGATTTGATGCATTTAAATATGTGAAGCATTTACTATATTAATGCACAATGACATTTTAATAGTTTTTTCATAACTGCTAGCATTGATCATTATCTCTCCTCCCTGCCCCCCATTTCGAGAGAGAGGAAGGGAGGGGGAGAGAGAAAGAAACATTGATGTGAGAAACATCAATTGTTTTCCTCCTGTAAGCACCCAGACCAGGGATCGAACAAAAACCTGGGGATGTGCCCTGACTGGGAATTGAACCTGTGACCCTTCAGTACATGGGACAACACTCTAACCATGAAGCAACACTGGCCAGGGCTGATCATCTTTTAAAAAAATACTAGATGTACAGTTGTATTTTATTATGTATTTCTCTGATAACCAAGAAACAGCACTTTCTCTTATTTACTTCTCTTTGTAAACTATTTGTACATATCCTTTGCTTACTTAGCCATTGGGTGTTTATTCTTAGAAACAGTAAAGCATATGAAAGGATCCCACTGGGTCACATAATTTTCTTTTGAAAAACAAGCTTAAATTTCATTTCTCTGTTTTTGTGTTTCTTTTTCTGGTTGCAGACCAGTCACCAAGGATTTTGTATCCGAGGTCCAAAAGTTTGTTACCCAAGATGATGAATGCTGACATGGATGGTATGTTCTTTGTTTTCCTTTTGTATAATCCTGGTTTTGTGGGTGCTTTTGCTTTATTAAGCAATGGAAAGAACAGAGAAGAATATTTAGAGTTTTGGATTTGGCTAATTTACTCATTTATATCTCTTCTAGTTCTGGGAAGGATTTAAGGCAGCTTCTGTTCCTTAACTGTGAGATATTGGCAAAACACTTTCTCTTCACGTTGGTGTCCTTATCTGCAGTGTGGGGATAGAACTTTTTGCTTCACAGGTCTCTTGCATAAGTCAAGTTAGATAGTAAATATAAAACATTTTGCAGATCTTTAAGTGCTACCCTACACAAATGGTACCTAATGTTTATGGTAAATTTGAACCTTTTTATTACAGCAGTTGATGCTGAAAATCAGGTGGAACTGGAGGAAAAAACACGACTTATTAATCAAGTGTTGGAACTCCAACACACACTTGAAGGTTAGTTTGCATTTTGTAGCTTTCTTGAGTAACATAAATTAATTGAAATTGTGAGCCTTTGTGTTGTTAAATTTTGTTAGTGCGCAGTTTTAAAAAGTATAAATTTCAAGCCCATTTCAATAGTTTCCCCCGTCCCCTTCTCCCTGAGGCCTGTAGCTTTGACTGGTGATTTTAAAGAACAGATATGCTTCAATAGGAAGTCAAATAGTGTCCTTAAGCTTCCCTCTTAAAAGTCTATCATAATGCTACTCAGTACATGAGAGCTCCTTTTCATACGGTAACATTGTGTTACTAAGTCTTGTACTAAAAGCGGTTTTCACCCCAGAGATTAAAAGGGAATTGGTCTGAGTTTTTCATTTTCTAAATGTCTTACATAAAATTAATACTAACACTGAGACATCTTTTGGTTTTTAATTAAATTAAGAGGTTGAGTTTTGGGGGTTTTTGAGTTTTCTGTGTGTGTGTTTTTGTTTTTGACACCAGAGTGAGCAGATCATGTCATTCCAGTGGCTTCCCACGTCACAGTTCATAAAAGCCAAGTTATTCTCTGGAAGTCTATTCCCTTCTACCTTTCAGAGCCGTGTCACACACAAGGCCTCTTACATTCTACCCCAGATACTCTGCCCCTCACATCCCCCACTGTTCTTTCTGTATGCTTCTACTCAGGGTCTTAGCAGTTGCTGTTCCCCTCTGCTTTTTCCCATAGTTATTTAGGCTCATTCCTTCACTTTAGGTTTGTGTTCAAATTTCCTTGATCAAAATAGCTGTCCCTGACTATCCTGTATAAAAGGGCTACTTCCCTTTTGCTTTCGGTGACCCTTACTCTTCTTGCTTTTTCTTCTGACCCCCACTTGGGGCCCCCTAAATGCACATTAAAATGTAAGCTCTGTGAGGGCAGAGACCTTTCTTTTTTGTTACTGTTGCCTCTGGAACAGTGAGTGCCAGGCTGTAGCGGGCACCCAATACTTAGTTGTTAAAGGAATGAGTGTTAGTGATGTTTTATTTGATCGTCAAGAACTACATCTTTTGAATTTTTTGCTAATGTAAAAATACAAAATGTTCAATTGCTTGGAAACCAGCTTTCTATATCCAGTATATAAATTCAGTTGTGTTCACCTACCACATCTTAAAAACCCTTTTAGGTTTTAGTCAACATAAATGCTGTTTATGAAGAATAACATTTAGTCTACTGTGAAATGTCATTTTAGGAATTTTGGCTATTTGCACTCTGTTTACTTTAACTTCTAAAGTAATCTCAATTTAAAAATAGAAAATGTAAGAACTGTGTTCTCTCAAGAAGAATGAATCTTAAGCATTTTGTACAATGGAAACATTGCCATCATGTTATCGATAATGGGCTTTTTTATTTTTATTATAGACCTCTCTGCAAGGGTAGATGCAGTGAAGGAAGAAAATCTGAAGCTAAAATCAGAAAACCAAGTTCTTGGACAATATATAGAAAACCTCATGTCAGCTTCTAGTGTTTTTCAAACAACTGACACAAAAAGCAAAAGAAAGTAAGAGATCAATATCCTTTCTCTGTTATGGATTGCTGCTGATCTTTTTTTAAAAAACTTGGATAGATTCCAGAAGTTATAGTACTTTTGTTTGTGGCTTCATTGAATATTTATGAAGATAATGTCAGATCTAGGCAAAATTAAGAGCATAACAGACTTCCGTGAGTTTGTGTATTATGTTAGTCTATGAAAACATGAAAATGTAGAGACTTTATAATTAGAAATGCATATATTTATGAAACTTGATGTCTTATCAGATTTAGGTTCAGCACTGTCTTTTATTATATAGTATGAGATACAAGAAAATAACCATGTTGTGAAAAGTGACCAAAATCATGTACTGAATGCACAGCTTTATGTACACTGTCTACCATCTTGTGCCTCTTCTTCATTTGCTTCTTCCTTCCTTCCCATTTCCCTTATCCTGAAGGAAAAACTGGTTTCACATTTGTAAGAGCAATTTTAGTAGTTAATCATTTATGAGAGTAACCTGAACAGTATTGTTGAAACTTAACCAAAAGTTAGGGCTTGTTATTTATTATACAGCCACCCGCCCACAAAATGACGTTTCAGTCCATTACAGACTGAAGATACAACAGGTATATACCATGTAGCCTAGGTGTGTGTAGTGGGCTAAACCATCTAGGTTGGTGTAAGTGCACTCTGTGACGTTTGCACAACAAAATTCCCCAGTGATGCTTTTCTCAGAACGTATCCCAGTCATTAAGCAGTGCATGACTGTATTTAATACTGGGATTTAGGTAGGATTGTTGGTTTTCTTTAATCATTTGAAAACAGAAGCTATAAAAATGAAGTGGGGGTTTTTCTT